GCAGGTGATCTGTGGTGCATTTTTCAGTTTGGTTTTTGCTTTTCCTTTCTGGGAAAATAAGACATTCAGGAGGGGTCACTGTAGCTGAATCGGTTTATAGCCACAGAAATTTGCAGCATGTTAAAACAATGAGAAATATGAGCAAAGGTCTCGTCAGTGTCCTCATAGTAGTTAGGTTTTTTGTTATATCTCAATTATGATTTTCTGTGGAAACAGCACCATCCTGAAAAAAATACTGGAAAAGTGTAGCCGTCAGTCGTGTTGAAAAAGCTTGCATTCCAAGAACACTTTAGACTCAGAAGGCAGCTGTGCTTGACCATAGACACATTGCTGCTTTTCTTTTTCATACTGAACCAAGTAGTACCAGTGTTTGTAATCAGAACCAATACTGATTTACTCCAAAGGAGGAATCATTGTGATTTCACAGTAAAAAGTTGGGCCACTGAAAATTATATTTCAAACATTTGCATTAGTATTAAACAACTGCCGCGAAGATGTTTGGGCTGAGTTTACCAAAAAGAGGCACAAAGATGACGCTTCAATGTAAAGCGAGTATCACACAGGACACTATATCTCTACCAGTAGATCCTCGAACACTAGAAGCTTATGGAACTGGGCAAAACTCCAAATGATCTGCAGGTTGTAGAGCATTCACGCACGTGGCTGTTTGTGCCTGTTTGTGTGAAGAAGCAGAGGAGCACGAGGCGGAAGGAAAAAGGATGATCCTGTATGTCACATATTTGCTATAATATTTGGTTGATTTTTTTACCATAAGTTAGGAAAAACTGATGTATATTCAGTTTACTGATAAAAGAAACATCTAGTATAAAATGTACGATTATATACTGATTTTGGTAATAATGGCACATCAGCGTTCACTTACAGAAACAGCTCAGGTTTCTATTCCCAGTGTATCATCTTAGAAACTGATTTTTACATCAAACAGAAACTAACAGAAGCGTCTTTAATACTGAGGAATCTTTTCTTACATTGGTAGTTTACTGTTCAGACAATTTAAAGTTTTTATTTGGAAATAATATTTTTAGAGACATACAGAGCACTTACAGTGGTCAGGTTACTCTTTTGGTGGTGGACATTTCTCCACCACTGCAGTAACATGATGTGGTGGTGGTTGTTAGTGTGTGTCTGTGCTGGTTACGAGGGAATCAGCACACAGCAGTGCTGCTGGAGTTTTAAACACCTCAGTGTCACTGCTGGACTGAGAATGTCCACTAACTAAAAATATCAGCCAACAGCCTCCTGTGAGCAGCGTACTGGTGACAAGCTGAGGATAGAGGATGACCAACACAAACTGTGAGCAGGCAGATGAGCTATCTGACTTAATCTACAAGGTTGGGACTGACAAGGTAGGAGTGTCTAATAGAGTGGACAATGAGTGGAACAGCATTTAAAAACTCCATCCGCACTCGTGTGTCTGATCCACCCGTACGGCACACACATACTAACACACCACCACCACGTCAGTGTTACTGCAGTGATAAGAATGATCCACAACACCAAATAGTACCTGCTCGTGAAGGTCCATGGAGGGTCCTGACCACTGAAGAACAGGGTAAAAGGGGGCTAACAAGAACTAACAGAACTACAAAGTGCACCTATATAGTAAGTGGAGCTGATAAAATGGACAATGAGCATAGAAACAAAGGAGTGGTCATAAGTCTATGCCGGATCAGTTGGTATATATACAAAGTGGTGCAAAAATCTAAGGTCCATGTGTCAAAGTCAAGGTCCACGGGCCAGATCAGGCCCACCAACACACAATCTATCTGGCCAAAGTATAAATATCAATAATACTAGTCCATTCACAATGCAACACCCCGCACTGGGATCTTAATTAAATCAGGTGTGGCTGAGGCAATGAACAAAACCCAAGCCAGGAATGAAAACTGTGTTCTTATAACAGTATTATGAAACCTCATAATAAACAACTTCACAGCCCACCACCACATTCTTTTACTGTATTGTCGTTATTTGTTTTTATTCACGGTAGTACTACAGCAAGAAGGGCTGGTGTTGATTCCCAGTCTGGGTGACCGGGGGTCCTTTCTGTGTGGAGTGCATGTTCTCCGTGTCTGCGTGGTGCTCCAGTTTCATCCCACCGTCCAAAGACGTGCAGTTAGGCTAATGGACAGGCAACATGCCCCTAGTGTGAGCGGTGTTTGTGGAGTGTGAGTGTTAGTCTATCTGGTCCTGCCCTGCGGAGGGACTGGTGAACATGTCCAGGGTGATTCCTGCCTACGCCCATTTGACGGCGGAAAGAAAACTTTTTCTTATTACAAATTACCCCCGCCCCATATCACATTTGTGTTTGTAGAAGAGGGAGCATTTTGTTATGGTTTAAAATTGATGGAGTTGTTTTTTTTTTTTTTTTTTTTTTTTTTTTTTTTTTTTTTTTTTTTTTTTTTTTTTTTTTTTTTGTTTCTACGTACAGTTTTTTGTGGAAAGAACAATCCTACTTTTAATTCTTTTGTTTTTTTTTTTTTTTTTTTTTTAGTTGCAGAATTGTATACTCGAAGGAGATCATTTTAGGGGTTTTGGTATTGACCAGGTGTGGCGTCATAAGGACCAGTCGCGCTTAGTCTCATTTTTCTTTGGACTTGGTCCTGATGGCCTCAACTCGTAATTGGTCTTGGGACTCAATAAAGGTTGGTCTGCATAAGCCTTACTCTCTCGGTGGATTTAGCTATGAAATGGTGATATGCCTGAAATGAGTGGACTGGCTATTTAAGGTTTGTACAAATTGTTGGTGTTTCAGAAAGTAACATAATGTAAGGTAATGAGAACTGTGAGATGACGTTTTCCCTGGAAGTAAGATGTAGTGATCCCCCTACAGATTGAGAAAAGTAGTAGGTAACACTTTACATTGTGTTGGACTAACTGTAACATGAAGAATTATCATTTTTAAAAATAACAGTACACTAAACGACATCAGTAATGGAAGTAAGTAAATAAACCAGTGTAGTGGCGCTACATGTGACAGTGTCATTTCAGCCAATTAAACTATTACTTAACATTGCTTGTTTTTTCAAGCGTTATGTATAACTGCAGTACATACGCAAGCACTGGAACATAAACTAATGAAGTTGTACCATGTTTCACTTACATTAGGTAACTATTATCAAGTAGAACCTTAGTGGTGTTCATGTAAATAAGTGCATACTTAATGTGATGAGTCACACACTTCACATGAAAACAACAATAACTAATGCAAGTGTACATGTTACTAACTTGGTAACCCATTGTTAATGCATTTTACTTTCATGTGTTGTTCATGTTAAACTAATGCATTACTTCATGTAGTTAGTCAACACAATGTAAATGTGTACAATCTGAGTGGAATATTTCTAAGTAACTACCCCACACACTGGTCAGTGATGAGTCAGCTCTTATTTGGAGCATAACTGTAATATTGTGTCTTGCAGTAAATTGTGTGTATAGCTAAAAACTTTTAAAGGCTAATTTTGGACTATTTGGGAGCTGGTGAACTTCCCTGTGGGTTTGTTTGTTGCAGCTCCAAGCATTCAAATTGGCTTGACTGTAAAAATGCACATGCTGCTACAGGCTAACAGTAATACTGAACCTACAAGTGTGGACAGGGGGGTTTGAGGGGTGTCATGTGCTGACAGCTGTGTCCCTGTCACTTTTAAAATGGACGCCTTGCCCCTGGCATTATTTACTAGAAGTTGTAGAGGAGAGAGCGTACGTCCTGGCAGGCCAGCAAAACTAGACTTGCCTAGTTTCTCGTTTTTCCTTCTGTGTGCAAATATTTTTAAAGACACTTTACATTTTTAAAGGCTTTTTCTTCCAGAAAGATTTTCTGCTTTTTAATATATTTTTTTTACAAACAATTGGCAATGACCACATGATTTTAAAATACTCATTGCGTTATAAATACATTCAAAATAATACAGTTTATGAAAATGTATTTAATGTGTCTTATTTTATTTGTTAGGTGCACTGATCATTAAAAGTTAGGCATTTGAAGGTAACTGTTCTTGTCATCCACAGATGTTTATCTGGACTTCTGAAGGCAAGAATCTTATAAGAGTGTGAAACGCTCATTAAGAACACGCTTCATTCTTCATTTTAGTTGAATTTTATATTTAATTAATATATTTTACTTAATGAAAAAGACAGAATTTTTTTTTTCTTGTGGAATGCTTTTGAAAAAAAACGTTTTTCTTCCAAAAAGATTTTCCACTTTATTGATTGATTTAACAAACAATAGCCAACGTCCATACTATTTTAAATGTTCATTAGATTTAAATAAGTTCAATATAAAACAGTTAATTAAAAGACATTTTATGTGTCTTATTTTATTTTATTTTATTTTATTTTATTTTATTTGTTTCCATTTGTGTTAGTTTGGTTATCTGGACTTTTGTAAATAAGAGCTTTGATGTAACTGGACCTTCTTAAGTTTTAGTTGAATACTCTGCTGTACATCATGTCCTCTGTCTCTCTCTGCTTTAGTGCTGATTGTACTCATCCACTGTGGACAAACTCAAGGTGAATCTGTATTTACTAGATTATTTAATTTTCATTCATGTAGAAGTGTATTTGCATGCATAACTCACCCCAGTTATGGTGAAACCTGAACTACATATTACACACAATATAATATATACTAATCTATATATATAATATATAATATCTTAATATATTTATATTAACATGTTTTTTTTTTTTTTACTTTTTACTGATGTACTGATATATAATCTGTGTTGAAGAATTAAACTATCTTAATTGTGCAGTCTGGCAGGACAGAAACATTCATATGACATAGGCTCATATTCAGCTCATAGAGAACAAAGCATGTGCTTAAAATGCTAGAACTACTGTTTATGTTGTAGAGGTGAAAGCAGCTCTGATAACTTCATCATTTCACATCAACAGAAAAACTCAAACCAGCAGTGAGGGTGGAGCCTCAGATCACCGTCTACACTGGAGACACTGTTACTCTGATCTGTGAACTGCAGACCTCACTCACTGGATGGAAGTTTTTCTGGACTAAAGATGCTCAGTCAGTACATCTGATTACTGATGAAAACACCAACACAATCAGTATAACAGTGTCTAATACAGGAACAGAAGAGTATAAATGTGTAGCACGCAGAGAATTCTACACAGATTACAGTGATCCAGTTAAGATTACAGTCAGAGGTACATCATGATTTCTGTTTTTTTTTAACAAATGACAAGATTATCAGAAAAGATCTTACAGTTATTCTATAATGTTTTTGAATAGTGAGATGTATATATAGAGGGAATATACATTTTATATATAATATTTGTATTGGTTTATTAAATTTGTATATAATTCATATTTTCGAAAAGAGTAACAGCTGATGTATAATGGACAATACATTTTTATTTCTCTAATAAAGGTGATATTAATCATAATATAGCATTGATATGTGAAGCTCACTTCAAACAATGTACAGGCCCATTTCCCAAAAAGTTGGGATGCTGTGCAAAATGTAAATAAAAACAAAATGCAAATTTGTGCAAATCGTTTAAACTCTGTATTTCATTGAAAATAGTACAAAGACAACATATCAAATATTGAAACCAAGAAATTTTATAGTTTTTTTGAAAAATATCTGCCCATTTTCAATTTGATGCCAACAACACTTCCCAAAAAAGTTGGGATGGGGGGCGACAAAACGCTGGTAAAGTTGTGTAAAAAAACATTTGGTGGTTAATTGGCAACAGGTCAGTAACATGATTTGGTATAAAAAAGCATCCCAGAGAGGCTGAATCCTTCAGAAGTAAAGACGAGGAGGGGTTCACCACTTAGTGCAACAATTCAAGAATAACGTTTCTCAATGTAAAACAACAAAGAACTTTTGCTTTTCATCATCGTACATAATAACATTAAAAGATCAGGATAATCTGGCGAAATCTCTGTATGCATGGGACAAGGCCAAATACCAGTATTTGCTGGCCCTGATCTTTAGGCCCTCAGGCGGCACTGCATTAAAAACAGACGTGATTCTAATGTTGGAAATCACTGCATGAGCTCAGAAACATTTCTGAAAACCACTGTCTGTGAACACAGTTCGTCGCTGCATCTACAAATGCAAGTGGAAATTCTAAAACGCAAAGAAGAAACCATACATAAACAGGATCAAGAAATGCTGCCAATTTCTCTGGGCCTGAAATCGTTTAAAATGGACAGAGGGGAAATGGAAAAGTGTCCTGTGGTCTGACAAATCAACCTTTAAAATTCTTTTTGGAAATCATGGACACTGTGGCCTCCGGGTTAAAGACCACTCAGCTTGTTATCAGTGCACAGTTAAAAAGCCAATATTTATGATGTTATGGGGGGCATTAGTGCATATGGCATGGGTGACCTGCACATCTGTGAAGGCACCATTAATGCTAAACGCTATATACATGTTTTGGCAACATATGCTTCATTATGCCTTCATTATTTCAGAAAGACAGTGCAAAACCACATTCTGCATGTATTACAGCAGCATTGCTCCATATTAAAAGAGTCTGGGTGCTAAACTGACCAGCCTGCAGTCCAGACCTGTCACCTGTCACACACTGAAAACATTTGCTGCATTATCAAAGGAAAAATATAATAAATGAGCCCCCGAACTGAGCAGCTGAAATACTATACAATATCAAACAAGAACAGGAAAACATTCCTCTTTTAAAACTACAGCTATTGATCTCCTCAGGTCCCAAACGCTTACAGAGTGTTGTTAACAGAAGAGGTGATGAAACACAGTGGTAAACACGCCCCTCTCCCAACTTTTTTGGAACGTGTTGTTGGCATTAAATTCAAAATGGGCATATATTTTTCAAAAAACAATAACATTTCTCAGTTTCAACATTTGATATTTTGTCATTGTACTATATTCCTTTAAAAATATAGTTTACATGATTTGCACATCATTGCATTCTATTTTTATTTACATTTTGCACAGCGCCCCAACTTTTTTGGAAACGGGGTTGTACACTATATAAAAAAGAGCATTTTAGAATGTCATCTATAATGAGACACAGAAGCCTAGTTTGGCTCCTAAACTGCCACATAATCAAAATGTCTCATAAGGCACAAAGCATGTGCTCAACATGTTGTAGAGGTGAAAGCAGCTCTGATAACTTCATCATTTCACATCAACAGAAAAACTCAAACCAGCAGTGAGGGTGGAGCCTCAGAGCACCGTCTACACTGGAGACACTGTTACTCTGATCTGTGAACTGCAGACCTCACTCACTGGATGGAAGTTTCTCTGGTATAAAAACACTCAGTCAAATTATCTGACTGCTGATGAAAACACCAACACAATCAGTATAACAGTGTCTAATACAGGAACAGAAGAGTATAAATGTGTAGCACGCAGAGGAGAAAACTACTACACACATTACAGTGATCCAGTCAAGATTACAGTCAGAGGTACATCTGCTTTCTGCTTTCATTTTGCAAATTCTTACATTTTGGAGACAATTATGGAACATTATTTTACAACTGAAGAGTTTCATTCCAAATGCTATATGTCCATGTGTAACTATGTTCCATATAATTGATACTAAGAGTTTATGAAAAGAGTAACTGATACATAATGAATTTTTTTTAAATAATGTTTCTCCGATAAAAGATAAGGTGATAAAGATGATATTAATCATAATGTAGCATTGATATTTGTTGTATGTGTAAAGCTCACTCTAAACAATGTACCTTAAGAAAAGCATTTTTGAAAGTTGTCTATAATGCATTTTGGAATTAAATCCACTATATAAAAAAGAGCATTTTAGAATGTCATCTATAATGAGATTTACAATTAAATCATTCAATTATTCCACATTCTTCTTTGGTTTTAAATGCTGTCATGTGATCAGAGAGAATATTTCAGTTTCTAAAGTATTTATCATCTGTGAACAGAGAGACCAAAGGCTAAAGTGAAAGTGCAGCCAGCTGAGCATGTGTTCATCAGAGAGAGAGTCACTCTCACATGTGACATAGAAGGTGGAGATGTCTGGAGTTACGAGTGGTTTAAGAATAATAAACGTCTCAGTGAAGCTGAAAGGAGGAAGAAATATGAAATCTCTAATGTTGATCAGTCTGATGAAGGTGATTATAGCTGTAAGGGAACAAAGTCAACAGAGCCGCGTTACTCAGAGACCAGTGATGCTGTTAGACTGACTGTATCAGGTGAGTCTCATCTTTCTCTCTTTATTTCTGTCATTAACAGTTAAAGTGTAGAGGAGTTTTATTACTGCACAAATATCATACTATAAAGTTAAGAAGTGATAGAGGAGGATCAGCACATTTCTCTTTAAAACTCACAGTATCTCAGAAACCCCTGTGAGCTCAGAGCTCTCAACTCATAAACACAAACAAGAAAAAGTGTTAATCGAATGGTGAATAGAATGTGGTGTAAGAATTAGATATTAGAATCAGGGGGTTTAAATTAGTTGTGTTTCTTTCTGCTCTGCTGGTTCTTGTCTCACACTGTTATAGAGCTTCTCATTTAAATAAACAGAGAGATCTCACTTTGGTGTTGGTTAGTCTGTGCACCAAGTATTTTCTCAAATATATTTTACAATTTATATACAGATTTCAAATTTGATCCAAATAAATCTGCCATTCAAATATATGTATAAATGTATTTCACTTAAATATTTGTGCAAATATTCCAAACATAAACATTAAAATATATGAAATAATATGTTGAGAGTATTGAATCAAATGCAGCACAAAAGACTGTTTAAAGTGAATTTATAATTTTATTTGCATAATACAGGCTGTGCATTTATATTTGGTGTAATGTGTTATTGCAAAAAAAGCTGAATGAGCGCAGTGCTGTCTGTGCATTGCTTTTTCTAAATGTGTTGAACTCTTTCGAATATTGAAGTGAACTTTTAATATATTTCAAAACACAAGTGAAAGAAAACATACATTTCCACTTATATTTGTGAATATATTTCAATAGTCTTATGCTGAAGTTTGGACACTCCTGGTCAAATGATGCATTTTGTTGATTTCCTAAGTGGAAATAAGTTACACATCCTCTACTAATCATCCTCTACTAATCCTCTATTACTCTTTATTTGCTGAATTTAACATGTTTGGAAAGAAAAACATAAAATATGACCTGTGTAGATATTATGGCATTTTGAATAGAATATGGCAAATTCTGTTTTATGTTTTATTATTATTATTTCATACATGTTTACATGTTTACGTTTATTTTTTCCAGTATGTTAAGATCAGCAAATAACAGAAATTGTGCACTTAAATTTGCAGAACAAAGACCTATTTAAGTGTGTTCTCTGTAGAGGATGTGTAACTTTTTAACTTACAATTTCAACAAAACATCATTTGACCAGAGTGCTCAAACTCTGGTATGTGACTGTATAAATAATGTGTTTAGACATCACTGTGAATGTATAACAGTGGATAAAAACAAGTAATTAAACTTTATTTCACAACTTTATTCTATGCCTGTTTATTCAATTAGGAATTTGTAGTATAAACACTTTATACTGTTTAGCAACATTGGAGGAAAATCAAACTATTGTAAATGTTCTGCCTGTAGTGACTCGGAGAACCAATTTCTTAGTCTCCTGCTCGAGTGGGTAGGATGTTCCTTTACGCGCATCCGATAAACTAATGTCCACTCTAAAACTTGCTGTTGGGTGGTGTTCCTGTTCATTGAGACATTTCTCTATAGAAAACAAACTCTTTTACCAGAGATGATGAAATGTAGTCACCAGTGATGAAGATAACAAGCTTGTACTGCAGTATTATAGTCCAGTCGAGACTTTGTTTGTTTCAGCAATTGTGGTTAGAACCGTATGTTCCCACCACCCGAGCTCCCCCGTTCTGTGAGTGTCTTGTAACTACAAGCACCTGACTTGTCGCCTGGCCTGTCACCTAGTGCAGCTCGCCCCCTAGTGTTCCCTAAACTGCACTCAAATATTTACAAAGACAAAATTACACAGAAGCCTAGTTTGGCTCCTAAACTGCCACATAATCAAAATGTCTCATAAGGCACAAAGCATCACTGGATGGAAGTTTCTCTGGTATAAAAACACTCAGTCAAATTATCTGACTGCTGATGAAAACACCAACACAATCAGTATAACAGTGTCTAATACAGGAACAGAAGAGTATAAATGTGTAGCACGCAGAGGAGAAACCTACTACACACATTACAGTGATCCAGTCAAGATTACAGTCAGAGGTACATCTGCTTTCTGCTTTCATTTTGCAAATTCTTACATTTTAGAGACAATTATGGAACATTATTTTACAACTGAAGAGTTTCATTCCAAATGCTATATGTCCATGTGTAACTATGTTCCATATAATGATACTAAGAGTTTTTTGAAAAGAGTAACTGATA